CAGCTTCTGCTTCTGCTGCTCTGAAGCGTTTATTTTTTTTATGAAATTTCTTGCAATAATATAAAGCAATAATTCTAATTTACATTTTTTTTAACATAAAGTTTATTGGTTGTTGTTGTTTTTTTGGCTCTGAATTAAATTTTTCATTCTGCTTGTAATTTTCACTGTTTTTTTTAACGCTTCTCTTCATTTATTCTGTTTTTTCTTTCCTCGATTCTTTTGCTTGGCTTTTATAAGTTTTTTTTTGAACCAATTAAAAATACCAAATTTTTTCTGTTTTTTTTTCTTTATATAACATCTTATGAATATTTGATGCTAAATTATATTAGCAGTTTTTGCTCAGCTTTCGTTTCTTGATTCTTTTTTCCTGCCTCTTTGTTTTTTTTCCCCAAATCTTTTGTTCTTCATTCTATGTTGTCACTGATGATTAGTAGCAGCAGCAGAAAAGAAAAAACTTTTCTGACTAAAACAACAGAAATTTACATTGAAAGAAATTGGAAGAATAAGCAGAAAGAAAAGAAGAAGAAGCTAAAAGTGGAAAAAAAAAAAAAAGAAAGGAGATGAATAGCTGTAAAAGAAAAGAAAAAAAAAAAACAAAGTAGGAAATGATTCTGTTTTTCATTAAGCAGATAAAAATTCTTTATCGGTGACTCATAAAATACTGCAGCTATTTTGCCGTTTATTTGTTCTATTCCAAATACTACTTATTTTTTTCCTTCTATTCATCTTTTATCAGTAACGTCATTTTTTCATTTATTTTTTTCACTTCATCTATTGCTACTGTTTCTCAGTGATGATAGCTGTGGTGTTGGTGGCGGGTGATGGCAGCAGTGGTGTTTGGAGGTGAAGTTTTTATTATTCCCAATTCTAATGTCTTTTCAACCAAATAAATAGACGATAGATGGTTTGGAATTTTCTGGGTTTTATAAAAAAAAAATCGGAAAAGAAAAGAAATTGAAGAAGGTGGGCAAGAAGAAAAAAAAAAAAAGAAAAGAAATTAAGCAAAATAAATTGAAATCATGATGTATACCAGAATAAATTTATTGC